ACACTCTGTAATCACACTTCACTTTCTAAAATCGCACTAACTGGGAGACATTTCTGCTAAAACTGGCACTTAACAAAGGCCAGGATGCCGAGAGAAACGGTAAACATCCCATCCCCGCGAGCAAGCTGGGAATGGTTACTATTTTGAAGGTGTCATAAATCCTTCACCACTACGGTCTTCCTTTCAGTGTCATCTCCCTACAGAAGTAGGGTTGGGGGACTTGGGATTTCCATGACATGAACACAGTTATTAGAAAACAGTCTGAACTGTCCAACTCGGTAAGAACGTATACACTCAATTGCAAAATGCTGTAAGCTAATGAAACGTCCTATTAAAAACTGAATTCTATGCCAAACAGCTGTGGCGTTAAGATTTTTTAAAATAAACCTGAGACTTGGCGGGGGGCCGGAGTAAGTCAAGTCGCGGGCCGGATACGGCCCGCGGGCCGCCAGTTGGCCATCGCTGGTCTAGATAATGTGGGACCCTCAACGTCTCACAACCCTATGGGCCTTCACGGCCTGTTACAGGGATAGCTTTACTTACTTTTACATATATCAATGAAATTATTTGAAATCGTCATTGTGGGTTTCGACGTAACAGATCAACTACTGATCAGATTTTCTGCATTTGTCATGTACTGAAGAAAACGGGAACACAATGAGACAGTACATCAGCTATTCATAGACTGCAATAAGGCCTATGGTTCTGTTACGAAGGAAGTACTGTACAATAGTCTCACAGAGTTTGGGGTGCTCATGAAACTACGAGACTTATGCTGATTAAAATGTAATTCAATGAAATGTAGAGTAAATTCCGGTTAGGAAAATATTTCTCTGATAATTTTCCCATGCAGAATGGTCTAAAAATGGTGAACCTGTGTTGCTACTGCTATTCAAATTTGCTTTAGAATATGCCATTAGGGAGGACCAGGAAAGCCCAGGTGGGACTGAAGTTAAATGAGACGCAACAGCTGCTGGTCTATGCTTATGACGTGAATATCTTGGGAGATGTCATAGATGCCGTAAAGAAAGGCACAGAAGCTCTAATTGATGCCAGTGAGGCGACTGGTCTAGAAGTAAACACAGAGAAAACTAAGCATATGTTGCTATCTCGTGATCACAGTGCAGGCAAAGACAAAAACATAAATATAGCTAATAGACCATTTGAATGTGTGACAAAGTTTAATTATTTTGGAAACACAATAACAGACCATAATTTGATTCATGAGGAAACTAAAATCAGATTAAATTCGAGTAATCCTTGTTAGCAATCAGTTAATAATCTTTCGTCTTCTAGTCTGCTCTCTAAAAACGTAAAGATCAAACTATACAAAAACCGCAATTTTGCCCGTAGTTTTGTTTGAGTGTGAAACTTGGTCTTTCACATTAAGGGAGGAACAGAGACTGAAGGTGTCTGAGAACAGGGAACTAAGTATAGTATTTCGATATAAAAGGGACGAGGTAATAGCAAACTGGAGGAAACTGCATAAAGAGAAGCTTCATAATTTTCACTGTTCACCAAATATGGTTAGAATAATTAAGTCAAGGGGGATTACATGGACAGGATATGTAACAAGAACTGGAGAGAAAAGCGAGCATACGAAATTTTGGTAGGAAAACCTGAAGAAAAAAGACCACTAGGGAAACCTATACGTAATAGACAACAAAAGAAATAGGATATGGTGGTATGGGCTGCATTGATCTTTCTCAGGATAGGAACCAATTGCAAGCTCTTTTGAACAAGGTAACGAAACTTCGGGTTCCACAAAATGTTTGGAAATTCTTCCGTAACTGAACAACTGGCGGTTTCTCAGGGAGGCATCGGCTCCATGGATTTGTTTACTTAGTTTCTAGTTGGTTAGTTAGCTTAGAGAATACCATTATAAAACACGATTAAGAGAAGCAGTTTTGGTTTCAAATACAAACAACATTAGCAGCTAAAGCGCACCAAGCACAATGACTATTGTTATTGGAACAGGAGATACTGGACATAGCGAAATCTCTGGAATACCAAACAAGAACTCGAAGGCCAACAGTTTCCTTGAGAGAAAAGACAGAATTTAGAGCCAAGGTAAACTTGAATAGGAGACAGGGCATCATGCGGGCACCCTTTCTTGCGTAAGGCGAATGTTTAAGTTCTTTAAAGCATAAACATTGCTGTAAGTAACAACAATACGAAGGGCCGTGCCATAGCTCAAGCAGTTAGTAGCGGGCTTCCCACCGCGGCGGCCCGGGTTCGATCCCGGGTCTGGTCAAGTGGGATTTGTGGTGGGCAAAGTGGCGCTGGGGCAGGTTTTCTCCGAGTGCTTCGGTTTCCCCTGCCAATTGCTCCACAATCACCCTCACCCATCATCTGGGGCTGGTACAATAGGCCAGAAATGGCCACAGTACAAGGGACTTAGTCCTACCCCACTAGCAATAAAAAAAACAATACTAACCGAAGGTGTTGACCAGTAGTACACATTAATATGTATAGCTTAACGCTAACGGTCACGGTAGCCTAGCGGTCCAATGCATGTACTGGCTTCGTTCGCTCGGAAACCGGGATTGTGGGTTCGAATCCTACGCAAGGCATATATATTTGGTATGTGTATATCTTTATTCTGTGTTTGTGTTGTGCTGTGTTTAGCGATGGTTGGGAGAACTACCGCGTGGCGGGCGAACATGGTGCTTCACAAATTTGTTTTTGAATTAACTTTATAAACATAAGAATTTGTTTTTTCCGAAATCATTGCCGGTTGCATGATAATTCTGGATGCTTGCATAACAGATAACCAATTACAGTTGCATTTATAATGTACCATATTTATTTTACAATTTATCTATCCTAGTACTCAAACATATTTTAAAAGAAATTTTATAATTTTGGAAACGAATATTCTCTAATGTTATTTGAATTTACGTCTCCGTAACTTATATGGTGGGCCGTGCCATAGTTGAGGCTGTTATTCGCCGGCTTCCCATCGCGGCGGACCGTGTTCGATCCAAGGTCACGTCATGTGGGATTTATGGTGGACAATATGGTACTGGGGCAGGTTATCTCCTAGTACTTCGGTCTCCCCTGCCAATTCTCATTTCACCAACAGCTCCACATTCATCTAGCAGCCGGGTATAATATAACAGGCCAATTAGTGGTCGACGTATCAAGTGGACTCAGCCTCCCTCCACCCGAAGAAACTAAAAAAAAAAAGAAACGTTTATAATGGTGAAGACAGAAGGGGCCGGCAGCTTACCTGCCGATTTCGGCGCACGGGGGTCCATCGGAACAAACTGCAGCTTGTTTGAAATGTCGTTCTACAGAGCCGGAGGGCGGCAGTGGAATTTCGGGGTTCGGAGGAACCAAGAGAGGCTTCGATCTGGAGGGACGCTGCAATGTAATGTGCAGAATTCCCGCCGTGCCACAGATCGCCAGCACCAATCCTGCGGCCAAGAGATACCGCTTCTGCAGCTTCCTCCTGCAACAGAAGGGAGGCACGTATAGTCAGCAAGACGCATTCAAAGCAGAAAAACTAATTGTCTGATTCACTAAATGCCTATTTTTTTTTCCTTGGCACTACAGCTCCAGTGGGCCTAGGCTGCCTCCATGAACTTCTCCGTTCACTTCTGTCTTTCTAGATCTTAGACATACGGTAGGACTCCTTGGACGGGCGATCAGCTCGTCGCAAGGTCTCTGCCTGTACACAAACACAGAAAGACGCACACACACAAACTAAACATCCATGCCCTCGAACACACGATCCCGGTTTCCAAGCAAGCGAAGACAGTGCATGCCTTAGACCGCTCGGCTACCGTGACCGGCAAATGCTTAATTGAGTGATTTATTTACTGGCTTTCTGAATGTAGGACCAACTAACTACCTGACTTGTCTCAGTAACAGTGCATTCGACTGGTCTATTGTGCTTTATACGACTGGTTAACTTGTTTACTGACCGCCCATGCAAGTGACTGACAGACACTGTGTCTGTTGTTTAACGACGCTCGAGACTATAGCATCTGTGATAGAATGATCAATGGATATGGAGCAGTTGGTGGAATGAGAATTGGCAGGGGAAACACAAGTACTCGGGGAATACCCGCCCCAGTGAATATGGAGCAGCTGGTGGAATGAGAATTGGCAGGGGAAACAGAAGTACTCGGGGAATACCTGCCCAATGGATATGGAGCAGCTGGTGGAATGAGAATTGGACGGGGGAACACAAGTACTCAGGAAATACCAGCCCCAGTGTCATTTTGTCCACCACAAATGCCAAATGACCTGACCTGAACTCAAATCAGGGCCGCAGCGGTGGGAAGCTGGCGACTAACCGTCTGCTCTATGGCACGGCCCCCGTGTAAACTCTCGAATGGAATGGCAGCATGATTACGAAAGGTGAATTACGAATAATGTTGTCGTGGACTGTTCTAAGATCTCCGAATAAAGGTAAAGAAAAACACGAAAACTTTAATCAGGATGGTCTGTCTCCAGTTAGAACTCCGAATTCTGAGTAAGAGCGTTAACTAGATGTTCAGTGATTCTGTCATTATACGTATTAGAAACAACTCTCTGTTTGAATTATTTTTAGTCTTTTGCATCATTATCATAATCATCAACATCACCGCTAATAACATCACGGCCTAGGTCACAAGGGGTGAAAAGAAGAAAGACGGTGTTTTTGCTGGGCGGTAAGAGTAATATTAAGTCGATGTGGAAATGAGTGAGCCCAGTCTACGTACTTTCAAAATCAACAGAAAAGAATAACTATCTAAACTATAATTCATTATCATTACTCATTTCATGCGACAGACTGTACTGCTTACAGCCGCTAGCAACGCACTTCATGCGCAGACTGTACTGCTTACACCTACTAGCAATGCACATCATGCGGCAGACTGTACTGCTTACAGCTGCTAGCAACGCACTTCGTGCGGCCGACTGTACTGCTTACACCTACTAGGAACGCACTTCATGCGGCAGACTGTACTGCTTACAGCTGCTAGCAACGCACTTCGTGCGGCCGACTGTACTGCTTACACCTACTAGGAACGCACTTCATGCGGCAGACTGTACTGCTTACAGCTGCTAGCAACGCATTTCATGCGGCAGACTGTACTGCTTACATCTTCTAGCAAGTTTTCCAGCATTTAGTGTAAACGACAAATGACACAAACTCCGTCCCAAGTGCAAACAATATATATTATATGTCTTTGATCTTGCTCTCTTCTACACTACATGTTTCGGCCTCTAACGGCCATCATCAGGTGTATACTCTTACGTTACTGCCACACTGAACCCAGTCTAAAATTTAACATTTAAAACACATTGTTATTTTCTTCGTTATTATCAACATCTACCTCGTTGATATCTGTCTGGTATGTAGATTATTTTGCACGTCAATTTTGGTTTTCCTGTAGTAGCACTATAAAATCTTTAGTTCTAATTTTAAAATCCTTTAAAAATTTTCTCTAAATTTTAAATTTTTAAATGTTAAATTTTAGACTGGGTTCAGTGTGGCAGCAACGTAAGAGTATACACCTGATGATGGCCATTAGAGGCCGAAACATGTAGTGTAGAAGAGAGCAAGGTCAAAGACATAAAATATATATTGTTTGCACTTGGGACGGAGTTTGTGTCATTTGTCGTGTAGAGTGCAACAGGATGCTTAAATATAATATTTAGTGTAAATATTGACATTGCAATGCGCAAAAGTAGAGCCAGTTGTATGAAGCAGTCAAAGTTGGTAACATATTCTTTCCAAAGTCCGAAAATTCTGTATTTGGGATCTCATAAAAATCCAAAAGAAAATTATGTATATTTCTCGAGTTTTGCTTCTCTTTTAATCCTCTGTTAAAATGGTGTCGATTCTATTTAGCCGAATATTATCTGCAGCCTTTTCGACATCAAAGAAGAAAGGACAAATCGACAGTTGAATTTGGTATTCTGCTTTCTTCATATTTCTAAATCTTCTACGGGATTTCTCATGTAGATTATCCTTCCCGTAACATATATGCTAAAATCCACACATGTTCTTCGCAGAGTAGAAAAACGTATAGATTTGAAGAATGCCATAAAAACTTCAAATCTTACATAACGTATAGATTTATTTTCTGTAACTTGGTTTGAGGACAATAGCAGTTTCGTTTGAAAGCCTGCGTACAGCTGTCGCCAGAGCAATATCTGTTCTTGACACACATCGTAATATCACACATGAAAGTTCCTCGCCTACGAGCGCCTTGAACAAGTCTAGCTTTCGAGTTTTAACTCGTCATCCATTGCAACCAGACACTAACCAAGGATCAGCAAGCAAAAGCCTAACCTCCGTTTCAGGGTCCTAAGTGAATATATGCCACATACGTAGTTAGTCTTTTTAGCCTTATCACCATAGAGCTTTCTTTAGCAGAAGCGTATTTCTTTTCCGCACATATCTACGAGTAATTACACTGATATATCTTTTCATTATGAAGCACAAAGAAGAAAACTCGAACTGACTAATAAAAGCCAAGATAAATATTTCTTTCGCTGACGTGTTTTTACCGACAATATTAAAAACAACAGTGGCCGCTATTCCTGAGCGAGAATGAAAGGAGTTAACCATGTCCAGTATCTAAATTTAAATTTTAAATATTAAAGCTAAATTGAGAATTTAAAATTTTAAACCAATCGACGCGTGAATATTAATAAAAATTTTAAACATAATTGACGAAATCAACAAGGGGAGTTCTAGAATATCGGGTGCTGATTGACAACAGAGCAATGAACAATTGTAAAACTGGAGTTTAGATGTTAATATTGAGTGCAGTGTGACAGCTACGTGAAGTGAAATACACCTGATGATGGCCGGTTGCGGCCGAAACATGTAGTGTGAAAGAAGGGGGACAAGAACTACAATAAAGTGTTACATTTACGACGGAGTTTATATTATACATATAGAAGTGTGGAATGTAACAGGATGCTTAAATATAACGTAAGTTACATCTTCACCTGTTGCGTGGCTCAGAGCACAGTAAAATTTGTTCCATTTAAAGTTCTCACAGCGGTGCTTATAAAGAGCTCTATCTTCTGGGATGCAACCCCGCGTAGTCCGTTAAAAGTTAACCGACTTTCGGGAGGAATATATCGCCTCCTCTGTCATGACTGAGGAGTAGCGAAGCAAGAAACCAGCACGAAGCAGGTAGTAAAAAGAGCTCGGCAAGCGCATGTTAGGTGTAGGGGGTTCTGTAATGTGCCAAGTTAACATATTCCATAAACAAAGCCATCTACATCTTTCTATTAATGACATATTACTTACTCAGTAATCTACAAAATTAAAGCTTATTACCTTCTGCAATTATCTTCGTGTAGTCTGTACTCTGCGTGCCACTTGCTGTTTTCTTGTTGCTTGTTTGTTTTACTATTCGATCCTGAAGATGGAGGTTTCAACCAGACTACACGACGTTATACAACAGAAGATAACATTCTTCGTACTGACGCTATTATAACCTCAAACCTAACATTGCAAATTAAAATTTGCCGTTAGAAAAGGATTTCGCGAATATCCTGGAAAATGTTTGCGGAGCCTCTGGTCTCAGCAGAGGACAGTTTGGGAACCACTGGCGTAAAAACTAATACAACGCGGCTAGGGCGTTTGTCATGTACTACTGCTGTAGTGTTTTTTCCTTGGCACTACAGCCCCAGTGGGCCTAGGCCTACCTCCATGAACTTCTCCGTTCACTTCGGTTTTTCTAGATCTTACACATTCGGTAGGACTCCTTGGGCGGGTGATCAGCTCGTCGCAAGACCTCTACCTTTACACAAACACAGAAAAACGCATACACACAAACTATACATCCATGCCCTGAGCGGGATTCGAACCCACGATCCCGGTTTCCAAGCGAGCGAAGACAGTCCATGCCTCAGACCGCTCGGCTACCGTGACCGGCATTGCTGTAGTTATCTGCCCAAAAATGAGTTCTATTCGGAGCATGACTTTCTCAGAATATTCAGTTGTATTACGAATTCAAATATGACTTAATGTTCTTGCCGTTCTCGAGATGTTTAGTATCTTCACATTTTCAAACGACTTACTAGCCATAGTTAGGCTACTTCATGATCTGGATTCCAGTTACGATTATAGTGCCAGCACAGTTTTTTGCATGCGTTATATGGCCCTGAGCCAAAGCAAAGCAAAGCAAAGGTAACCGACCGTAATTGCCACTACAGCAGAAGATGGAAGGAAGTGTTCGAAGCTGAAATTTGCAGCAACCACAGCAAGAATTGCTCTATTAGGCGCGGTGCAAGTTACTGTTGTGGGTTACGCAATGGGGAGAAGAGGTTTTCGCTCTCTGAGATTGTCTGGCCAATAAAGTTCGTTAACCCCACATGAAGTGATTTGTATCAGGGTTGTCCAAATAGTTGAATGGAACCCCTCCCCCCTTCTACGGATACCAAGTATCCGCAGATTTGCATTTGTATCTTGTTTTGCCAACCGCAGTACTGGGC